TGACACATCACAGTCACTGACATCCCAGGTCCCATGACAGAGGAGAGGAAAGGATTATCTGTTCTCAGGAACTAAGACACTAAAAAGGGACAATGATAACCGCTGCCATTTACTCACAGCTTTCTATGCCAGTCCTTCACACATGATCTCCAATGTTCTCAGCGCCGTTTCAGAATAGGTGTTCTCCCTCTTTTATAGGTGATAAGAAAAGGCACTGCTTCTGTCATGTAGCTAATAAGTGTGAAGGCTGGTATTACAGTCAAGCTCTGTTTGATTCCAAAGCCTCTGGTATTCTTACATAATACGGTCTTCATCATGAATTTACCAGATCTCAATCCAAGAGAGACCAGCATTTAAACATGTCCCCCAAAGGCCAAGAGCATGAAGCGGAGGCTGCTTAAAGGACTCCTCTAGGACAAGCCAGCCACTGGGACAGAGGCATACCTGAGATGCGCGGCTTGCAAGTGCAGGATAACATCTGGCTGTCCTCTCTGCTGGCCCTACACTGCCACACACAGGGAGGACACCCAGGGCGTGCTGAGAGTGGATTCATGCCAGCGAGCCCTGATGAGTGCTGAGTTCCTAAAGAAATACAACACTGGCCAAAAGAAATGTAAGATCTTCATCTTATCCTTTCCGCTGACTTCCTTGACAACCCCAGCAACCTTCCCTCTCCAAATATTTTGGCCTCCTTGCCCCAAGCTTCTAAGGTTATTGCCCATCCGTAGGTAACCCCCCTCATTCTGTTCCATTCACATCCTTGGTCAGCTGTGGGGGGAGGCCAGCTGCCAAGCTGACCTGGACAAAGTTCTCTCCAGCAACACTGACTTCTTGGTGACTGATTCACTTGTGCCCACAGGATGCCCTGTATGGCCTCTCCTCCCCTCCTCTCTATCTACTCTATTGCCTTTAAGCACTTTGAGTTTTCAGTCATTGGACATCTGCCTCATTTCTCTGCTTCCCTTCACATCGTGGTTCTTATGAATATCAGCTGGGTGAAGCTCCTGAGAGCCAGAACAGTCCTTGTCTTCCTGGATCCTCACCAGCTTGCCTTTTGCCCCCTGCACTCTGTGAGACCTGTAATTAACAAGGTCCCTGAGAACCTTGGGGCTAGCAAACAAGAAGGCATTCTTCCACACTGTCTTTGTTGGCTTGGCGCTTGCAACACACGACTTCACAATGTCCCGATTAAGGAGATGTCATCAGAGAGGAAGAAGACAAAATGAAGAGGCAAACAGTGACCTTGCCTTCCAGGACCCCCTCTTAAACTTCACCATAACCTTCATTCTCTTCGTCAAGGGGTCCCTCTGATTTTCTTCTCTGTCCTTTACACCTTTCCCTTTATATCAGAGCCTGGACAAAGTCATCCATGAAACAGAGATTCAGCCACACTCACAGACCATCCACTGTATAATATACTCTGTAGTAGACCTACGTATTTCCCCCTTCTGGCCCTTACTTATGGCCTAGCTGTTAACATATAGCCAAGACATACAACCATCTACAAGTCTGCCCATGTCGACCTTTTATTCACACTGAAAATATCTTTCTCTGAGGATGTCCATGTCTTCCAGAGAGGCAGGAACAGGAACAACATGAATTAGCTTGTAGGAGGGACTGGCCTGCAATTGTCTCTAATTCCTGACCATAGAATTGTCCAACCTTCACAATCACATTTTGCCTTGCTTATGAGTCTTGGACCTGCTGGGATGACCACAACGAGCTTCTAGAGCAGTTTAGTTAGACTATCTTTGAAGTCAATTCAACACTAAATGGTCAAAAGTGATTATTGTTGCCAGCGCTTAGAAAATAGCCAGTGACCCAATGCTAAAGTGATGCTCTTTCCTTGACAACTGCCTTGAAAGGGTGGAGTGAAATTCTTGAGAGCAAGGCCTTGGTTGCATTTATGTTTGTGTTCCCAAGGTTGCAGTGCTCGACACAGAGAAGGTACCCACCACTGACACTGTGGCCAGGATTTCACAGCTAGAAGTGACGAGCGGATTCTCACACAACTACATGAACTAGACTAAAATGGAAGAGTACCAAATAGAATTTGGATGACGCCAAGGAGGCGAAGTAGGGGGAGAGGGAAAAAGAAGAGGGTAAATTATGTAAATATAGTCCATCCTTGTTATTCCGGTAGTTACGTTCTACAAAGTCAGCGCAAACACTGAATTAGTGAATGTGGAACCATTGCGCTAGCAGAAATTCAAGGTGGAGCTCCTGCAAGCCTCTTGTCACAACCTTTTTGTCAATCGATCAATACATAGCCTTGTTTTGTGCATGATTTCTGTTTAAAGATGATTCAAAAAACACAAAACTGCAAAACAACATATCATTAAGTAGATCACAAAAAGAACACTTGTGTATCGCATGAGAGCTAAAACAGAAGGCAGAGCATCGCCCTGTTCAGTCTCAGCTAGGAACGTGTGCATTGGGAGGCTCGAATTTTTCACCACTCTGCACATGTCCACAAATGACCACAAAGGTGCTCTGAGTATTGATTTTTGGGAGTGCAAGTCAGTTTTAGCAGGTGGGTAAATTTGCAAACACAGATTCCATGGATAATGAGGATTGACTGTGTGTGTATTTATCAAACAAAATTAAAGCCAAAAAACAACAGAGATGTTGGCTCTTCAGAAAGTACAGCCTGGCTCAGTCATCAAGATGGGGACAGTAAAACTACAAGGTAGTCCGAGGCCAGGGAAACAAGACGAAAGCAGCCTACTGCCCATCATGCCAGGCCTTGCAGACAGGGGTTGTGGCCTTTGGCCAGCAACAGACTCTAAGCAGCCTGCAAAGAGGGGCTAAGGGTGGGTTATGGCTGCTTACTCTGCCCACAGGCAACACAGCCATACTGTTGGTCTGTGGTGACATGTATGTGCCAGGTGCCATCCCTGTCCATGTTGCCATCTCCCACACTTGGCACTGGGCATGAGGGAGCCTGGCCTCCCTCCACTCAGATGCCTAACATGGTCTTGTCCCAGGGGTCCAGAGCCTAGAGATGTGCTCAAGGGCGGCAAACACAGGCGCACAGGGGTTGAAGCTACTCTAGTGAGGAATTGACCTTCAACATGTCATAATCCAGCCAGCAGCCATCTAAGGGTCCCGTCTTCCAGAGCTGAACCCAGGGGGAGGTAGCCTGGGAAGAGAGGGCGTTTGGGGGTGGGGTCCATGAATTAATCACACAGCCCCAAGGGCTGCTGGAGACCTCTGGGTTGCAGATTGGTGACATGTGACCTTTGGTGAGAATCTCCACATTGCCAGCTCCTAGCCCAATGCCTGGATCATAGATGCTCATTAAACTCTGGTGTGTGAGAGAAAACACAAAAGGAGGGTGGATGGCTGGAGAGACTTTTGTTTATTTTATTAGGGCGGGGTTCTACTAAGAACAGCAGTGTTGACCCATGAGACTCAAAAATAATTTACTTATATTGTATTACATGTTTTTCAAAGCACTTTTATATGTCATCTTGTGAATCCTCAGATTAATTCTATATAGTAGAGGAGTTAGATATCAATGCGCCGTGTGGTTAGTTGAGGTAACTGAAACATAGAGAAGTCAAGAGAAGCGAGGACATACAATTAATTAATGGCCTGGCCAGCAGGACAGCCTACTCATTTCTGACTGGTTTTATGATAGGCAGCAGGCCCCGATGCGTACACCCAGACTCCTTCGTCTCCATTATCACTCAGAAGCAGCTCCCCATTCCCAGGCTCTGGCAGAAAAGGGTCCAGGTGGCACCTGGGACACACAGCCCAGACTCTAGAAGGCCCACCCTGCAGGAAGTGCAGGCTTCAGGCCAAAGGAACAAGAGACGTGGCAACAGACCTGGAGCCAGAGATGCTGCTGGTCTGGTTCCCCGAGCTGGGGAGCAAGATGCCAAGAAGCCAAGCGGGCAACCCGTGCCAGGCCAAACAGACAATTAGCACCCACAGAAACCCCACTGCCCAGTGATTGCTCAAGGCAATGAAACTCCAGGCCGGCTGCTTACCGGGACAGAAGGCAGGTGATCCAGGAGCTTGTCTTTATAGAGAGCCCAGGAGTCCCTGAGCTGGAGGGGTGCACCACACGGGTCCCAAAGCCTCTGATTCACTCCGTCCTCAAAACTGAGAGCTCTTCAGTCCAGAGAGCCAGGCCAACCTCCAAGTCCTTGTTCGTTCCTCTCTTGATGGCTACTGCCCTTCCCTTTAGCTGCCTCCAGTCAAGGCTACTGTACAGAAGCTCTTTTCTGGGTGCCTTCTTCTAATATATGCCAAATGCTAATTCCTCACGGCTCCCAGTCCTATCCTGCAATTCGTTACTTTCCCAACCTCCCTTCCTGGCTTTGGATGGGAACCTCCTTTGTTCAGCCTTTCCAGTGCTTTCCCTATGCTGTTTGCACTGGGAATGCTGGGCTCCCAGAAAAATAGAAGAGGCTGCTGGTAGAGAAACCGGCCCTGACCAAACAGGAACGCTGGCACATTACAGCCAATGTGTGGGCATTCTCAGGTTGGCTTTGCGACCTGGGACAAGCCCGCCATGGGTGAAGATATGTGCATGGATCAAGTGAGGAGGAGTGACCAGGGGTGCAGTTTCCCTTGTTACAAGAAATAGATTGATTGGAATGGGAGGGCAAGATCTGAGGCCAAGTTCTTGGGCTTTTCCAAGGACAGGTCTGTCTCTTGGATTAGGAAGCTGTTAATATCAGTTGGAGGAAGCTCACTCTGGAAGGATAGACACATGGGTTAGGGCGAGGGGCTGTGAGCAAGGGGTGATGGAAAGATGGGGACTTACATAGTGATCTCAGGGAAGCAATTTCTGAGAGGGACAGAGAACATGACTGGGGTGAGGAGAGGGGAGGAAGAAGGTACCCCTACCAGGGTGCTGTTGCTCCCAGTGACTGTGAGAGCTGGCGTGTTCCATGGGCACGGAAAGGAAGGACACGTGAAAAGTGCAGTGCTTGTTGTCATGGGAAACCTGGTTTCCTCGCTTCATCTTGACCTTGAGGAGGACTCACCTGAAGAAGCCTTTGCAGCCTTCGCAAGTCATAGCGTTGAAGTGAAAGCCTGTGGCTCGGTCTCCACACACGCCACAGATTCGAGGCACGTTCCGGTCAAAGTCGCCGGGGTCAGGCAGGGAAGTGCTGGCCGCCATCGCCTCCATCCCTGCAAGAACAGCAGCCAGGCCATGGCCAGAGCCAGAGTCAGTGCCAGGGCCAGCCGGCATCCTTTGCCTCCCTCTGCCCCCATCTGCCAGGGAGCTCAGCAAAGCTGGGCAGCTCCCCAGGACCCAGGCCTGACCAGGAGTCCTCTGGCGCCTTCACTACGTGACTCTCCATCCCCCAGCTTACTGTCCTGACGCTCTGCTGGCCATGAGCAGAAGCAGGGCTCCATTTCCCAAGTCCAGGAGGCATCTGTAGGTGGCACTGTGGTGAAGCCACTCAGCCTGGCTTGTAATCAAACTGCCTGGGTTCGAAGGCTGCATCTGCCACTTACTAGCTGGGCCACTTTGGGTGAAGTGATTACCTTCTCTGTGTCCCACTGTCCTCTTCTGAAGAATGGCATTTTATTATAGGGTGTGAGGAAGGATTGTATGAATATGAAGGAGCACATGGGCACCATTGGCATCAACTCCATCTCAGTAGCAGACCAGAGGCCTCTATCTTGCCCAGTGCCCCCTCAAAGAGAAAAGGGGAGACCACCAACAGCCTCAGACCTCACATGCAGAGAGTACCCCTCAGCCCTTCCTTTCTTGAAGGCAAGGGGAACAGAGGACTTACATGCCCAAATCAGAGCCTTCACCACTCCAGCCCCAGCTCCTCACAGCCCTCCGGCTCAGGCCTCGTGACCGACCCTCCCTCCTGTGCTGGTAGCCAGGTGATCAAAAACTACCCTCCCCCTTTTTTTCCATATAAATTGAACACATTGTTTTGAACATCCTCCTGAATATTATGAGTCATACACAGTCAACTAATTTTGTTTTCAGAGATGGCTTTTATAAATAAGCATTATCACCTAGAGATGGGTTTCACACTTGAGGAAAGGCGCAAAGAGAGAGAGGGAACAAAGTATAACAGCTCTTGAGAAATCCTTCTCAGGAAGCAGGCGACTTAACTCTCCCATTAGGCAGATTGGGCCCTTGGCTTCACCTGCTGCCTCTGATCCCGACCATTGTCAGGCTCAGAGCTGCTTTTGGGGTACCTCAGGCCTCCCTAAAATGGTTTCAGACCTTGGTGCCTCCCAATTTTATCTCAGTCCTCGCAAGGGTCATTACAGGTTTAAGTGGCCCCTTGGCCCCATGGCCAGAGGTCAGAAGAAAAATAAGAGAGGAGGCCAGTTATGAGGGGATAAGCACCCTACGCACTCCCACCAATGGTATCATGTCCTCCCAATCCAAGGTGAGGGAGGTAGATTTTGGGGGGCCTTTGGGAGGCTCTGAGCTTCCTTTCCATGAGTGGGCCGACAATCTCTGAGCCAGCGTTTGGCACATCAAAAGTTTCATCTTCACGAAACTTAACCCAATGAGGTTAAATGCTATTATCATTCTCTCTCTTTTTTTTTTTTAAGATTTTTATTGGGGAACTGGGGGATGGGAACAGCGTTGGGGAATTGGGGAAGGGGAACAGACAAGTTGCTATCCTTTTGTTCTTCAGTCTAGTTGTGGAGGACGTTGCTTCACTGGCCCAAGTTGGCACCATCACTGCACTCTTTCCGGGCGAGGCAGATCAGTTGCCGGCTTCTGGACGGCCGCTCACAGCGGCTGCTGGCTACACACGGTAGCCCATGGCAATCCACTGCCACAGGGGCTGCAGCCTATGCCATAGCCAGCGACTCCTAGCAGCCCAGCTCCAGGTCGAGCTGTTGTTCAGCATCTTAGCTGTAGAGGGCAGTGTCACTGTCCCTCATATGTGGGATCCGAACCGGGGCCCTCTGGCGTCCCAAGCCAGCTCTTAACCAACACGCCACTCGGCCAGCCCTTATCACTCTCTTTTCAAATGAGGCCCACAGAAGCCCAAACATTGAGGTATCTCTAGCAACTATGATTATAAAATGCACAAAACAATACTTAATTTTGTAAAAATTCCACAAAGAACTTCAACCAAAGAAGGAAGGGGGACCAATAAGGATATGGAATTGTCAGTCCCAAAGGGGTGGAAGGGACCCTGATCGCAGACAGACGTAGTAGATCCCCTAACTTTCTCCTTCAGCTCTTCTTTTCCTGGGAACTTTAATGTAATAATACTGACACTGTTGCCTGTCCCTATCACAGCTAGATTGATACTTGTTAAACTATAATGTTTATATATACAGAGAGAGAGAGAGAGCGAGAGAGAGAGAGAGAGAGAGAGAGAGAGAGAGAAAGAGAGAGAGAGAGACACACACACACACATTAAAAAAAAAAAGAAACAAAGCAATGATTAACATTGAGGGGGTGAGATGAGATGGGAGGGTCCTGTAGAGGCGTTATTTAGTAGCCATTCTAGCTCCTTGAATGGTAGGTATCTTATTATTATTATCAAAACACTATTTTATGTTTTATATGCCCATCTGTATATATAAAACATTTCATAATTTTGAAACAATTAAAAATAAAAAAATGCCTGTGGGTCTGTCAACAGCGTCCCTATAACTCAAGCCCGGGCTTCCAGAGCGTCACACACATCTAACATTTGGGCAGGGATCCCAGAGGCCCAAAGCCACTGTGGGGCAATAGAAGAAACCGTCTAGGATGCCTGTGGCTTAACCCCAGGTCAACTGAGATGTTGCAACTCCCGGCATCATGACGTTGCCACAGAGTCTGTGTCATCTGAGCGGCCAAACATCTGGCGGATTTGGTGGAAAAAAGAGAAATCAAATGCGGGGGTGGGGAGAATATCAGTCAAATCTGAGAAGTGCTCAGCATCACACAGGCTCATTAGGAGATGTTATGATGCAACAGGGCTGGAACAACTGATACCACAGAATGTCAGCAGTGCCGTCCGGTAGCGGGGCAAGGTGCTGCCTTGACATCAGGAAGGCTCCTGGCCTGGGGGTGGGGGCCCAGGGGTTAGGAAGGACTGGGGGCTGGCAGACAGAGGCCCGCCATGAACAGGACCGTTTCAGGTGAGCTGAGGGAAACACAGAGCGCTGCTTGCAGTTATTTGCTGCTGGCAGGAAGGCAGAGACCAGCACCAGAGTCTAGAGGCAGAAAAGAGGCACAAGCATCTATGGCAGTCCCAGGAATGGCCCACAGGCAGAGGCTGTGGGAGGCAGGACAGTGAAAGAGGAGATGAGAACTGGACAGGAAACACGACCATGCTGGACGGCCCCCTGGGGTCCCAGCCTTAGAGTCTGCAGGTCTCTCTCTTCTGAGCCCCTCCAAGCCCCCACCACCACTCTGGCAGGACTCTGGGTCTCAGCTGCGGGCTGCCGTGGATTCTGCTGACACGGGGCCCGCCCGCATGTGCAAGGCCCAGGATAGGATCCTCTTCCTTGCCCTGCCCGCCACCTTCCCACAGCCCTCCCCTGCCCTTGGACAACAGAAAGCCAGGGAGGTTGTGGCCAACAGGAAAACACTCACCTGAAGGAGCAGGGGGGGTGGGCAGGTAAGTCGAGCCCAGGGGTGCCCTTCTGTGAGATCTCACAGACACTTCCAATCAAGACGACTCTGAAATGAAAAAGGGAAAACATTTTACCTACAGCTCAGCCCTGACCTCATAGCCAGTTCTCTACCTAAGGAGCCCAAGATGTGGGTGAGACAGGCTCTTTCCAGGGACATTAGTCCCCAGATCGTGGACTGAAACTCGGCAGAGTGACTTGCTGAGGGCTGGAGTGCTATGTCATTACCGGCAGGGGTGAGGGGGCGGGAGCCTGGCAGCAGCCAGGAATGGCCCTCCCTTGAAGCAGGGGGTAGAAAGAGCAACGGGGGGTGACAGAAACAGCCTCCCTGCTGGAGGTTCTCCCTTCACAACAGAGGATGTCAGCAGGGAGAGGGCTTCTTTCTAAGGGGGCACCCCTACTCCCATGGGCCCCACTCCAGATTTGAGGGGTGCTGGGAGAGGCAGAGCCACAGGGTAGCCCAGCTCACTGCTGAGGGCGGGAAGCAGACAAACACCCCACGCAGGACACAGAGGAGCCTGGGGGAGCTAGAAACGGAGCTAGAGCCTGGGGGAGCCTGGCACGGCCCAGGGCCTAGCCTGTTGGGATGGCTTCAAAGACAGGTGTCTGGGATCCCCTGTCTGTGGAGACTGGGTGTAGGTGGAGCAGGTGCTGCAAGGGTTAAATGCAGCCGCACACTGCTTTCAAACAGGATGTTTTCTGCCACTTTTAGCTCTTCCCCAGACATGCTCAACACCCCCGGCCTCAGCAAGGGCTGAAGGTGACTCCAGTGCCCAGAGTCTGGGTTTTAGTGGTATGTGGATCACCAAAGTGGGGCTGGCAGATTTCACCCTCCCCACTTCCACCCACACCCAGCCCTGCTTATCCACCCATAGACACACACACACACACACACACACACACACACACTCCTCCCTTCACTGATGCCAATAGGAGGTGGCTGGGGAGATACACAGATATACAGGTACCTGATCATGAAACCTGGTGAAGACCTTTAAGCCGAACCCCCGACAGGGAAGATCCAGACCCCCAGCTTTTGTTTCTCTGTCTCCGAGTGGTCCAGCTAGACAGGGAAGGGGCTCCCAAGACCTGGGCCCAGTTCTAGGACTGCTAGCCCACTGAGCCCATTTGCCACCCCCTCGGGCACTGCCAGCCCACATAGAACATCCAAGGAAAACGCCAGTGGACCATGAGCTGAGGTCACCTGAGCTAGGCTGGCCCACTCCCAAGGACCTAGGGTGGGAGGAGGCATGTCTGCACACAGACATGTTGTCACTTACCCTCTAGCTATGTTCTCCTTTGCTCCCTCTACTGGTACTGCCCAAGGCCGCAGCTCAGCACACTGTTCAGGGTTCTACCCAGGGGCCTAATCTACTTCCCAGACTCCCTGCTTGCTCCTCAGAGGCTGAGGTGAGGGCCAAGTGGGAAAAGAAAAGACCGCTGCTTTTCTGTCTTCAACCTCTATGACTTCCACAAGTAAGACATAAGACCCAGGTAGACCACCACCCTTGAGTTTAAAAACCGAAGTATGTGGAGTATCTACTATGTGCCAGCCTGCTAAGCTCACACACATGATCTCACGTAAGCCTCATAACATCCCATGAGATGAGGAGCGGCCCCATTTTACAGATGGCAAAACCAAAGTCCAGCGCACGGGGAGTGACTGGCCAAGGGTTCCATGGCCAGGCAAGTAAGTGATGGTGACAGGAGCCAAACAAGGACAGGCTGACTGCCCTGCCCCAGTGTGTCCCTTGCCTCCTGCTGACTCCTCCCATTCTAGTGATAACCATCAGTACAGACACTATCACTCAGTGCTGGGCCCTGTTCCAAGTTCTTCACATACTCATTTAATCCTCACAACAACCTTGCAGTCGGTTACTGTGATCATCCCTGTTTTAGGCACAGGAAACTGAGGCACAGAGAAGTTGATTGTCTCTGGAACCCAGATTTGAACCTAAGCAGCTTCGCCCTGAATCTCCACTCTGCTGCCTTTCCTAAGGGAAATAGCTGTCATTTCCCCGACCCTGAGCCCGGGATGCCTCTCCCTTCCACTGAGTCAGGGAGCAGTGGAGAGAATGACCCCCAGGGCATGAGAGAACATCATGGTGAGTTTCCTCCCAAGGTCCCCAAGACCAGAGGACAGCAGGCCTCAGCCAGGACCCCCTTTCTGCCAGGCAGCCCCTCTCATCTGGGAAAATTCCATTCCACAGACTGGCCTCCTCTGCCCATGCAACTGTGCCCTACTGGACGGTCCTTGTTGGAGAAGTCATCTTAGACTTAACCTATAGGTCCAAGTGCTTGGAAAGTGGGGAAAAGGCACTGGGTTAAAAAAAGGACAAGTGGAAAAAAACTGCTTAATAACAGCCCCCTTTGCCACGTCATAAACCCCACCACCACGCCTCCAATTCACATTCTGAGTATACAGAACATCCCGCTGCCTTTGGTGGGGCTGTCCCCAGAGCAACTCCCTCCTCCTGCGTCTGCTTTAAAAATACCCAAAGCCCCAGTACAGAGCCATAGAGAAGCAGAGAGGGTGGAGCTCAGCTCTGCAGAAAGTCCCTGGCTTCCAGTCCTCCGGGGTCTGCATCCCACATCAAACCCTAGCCTGAGCCTGACCCCTGGCCTGACCTTGCCTTAGCAAGAAATAAAGAGATAACGTGTTTCCTTCCAGTCACTGAAGCCACAACAACTGCCTCTCCTACGCGCCTGTCTATCAGCTCACACAACAGGAACCCCATGTTCCAGTGGCTTCTGCTAAATGGGCATCCCCGGGCAGAGACTCACCAGGACAGCCTCACCGGGTGCTGGCGGCTGGGTGTTCTGGGCTGAGCCCTGGCAAGACAAGGATCAAAGTGCCGCTGGGCTCAGGTTAATTCCACCACATTCACTGGAACTTTCTCAGCGTCCTGAGGGTAGTTTAGCTGCGACTCTGGAAGGACAAGCGGTGGACAAGAGGTCTGACCTCTAAGGGCTTTTCCAGCTCTGAAGTGTACGACTCCAAGGCCAGAATCCCCATCAAGAGGCCTGAAGACCATTCAAGATGTGAGATGCCCCTCACTGAGCTTTCTCCCTGACCCCCTCAATAACCAGATGAGCCCCAACATACGTGTCAGTGCAAGTAGGGTACACTCACCCTCAGATGCTAAGGAGCAGGAGCGGCACGAGTGATGTGGCCCTTAATGAGCCCAGAGAGAAGGGGAGCCCGGGAGAGGGGGCCTCGCGCAGCCAGATCGGGACCGGAGTGATCAAAACTGGGCGTTCCAATTGTTGACATTGGCTCAAAGCTCTCCCGCCTTCTAGAAAGAAATGGAAAGCTAAGTGATTTCCCAGCAGAGGGGGGAGAAAATTCTTCTTCCTAAAATTGGCACACACAGAGCCAACCACACGTGGGGCTCTCTGGGTCAGAGAGGCCTGTGTGGACACTGGCCACAGCGGCACACGCCTGTGCATGCCCTTTCCTTGCTGTTCTCATTTCATCATCCTTCCAGCTCTGCACATGGAGTGCTGCACACTGTATGACCTACCTTACTTTTTATTTGTCGTCCTTTTATTCTATTGTAACTTCTACACAGCAATATCATATCTAGCTAAGGTCACACCTTCCTTCTTTCTCCACTATCCCCAACATATGCACATATTCTTTTCCCGGAACAGGCTCAGCATTACCTCCCAGGAGAAGCTGAGAGGGAAACAGAGCGAAAATGAGGGCAAGGGGAGAGGAAGTATGCTGTATAAATAGAACTTGCCCAAATTTTTTGCCTCCATTGTCTCCCCAGCTCCTCCATACACACATATTTTTAAATATGGGTGAGAATCGTTGGGAATTATTTTCTGTAGACTACAATGTCCAAAAGAAAACCCAATACACACCAGTCATCTCAGAACATCTCAAGATGGAAAGGAGACTTAACACTACCTAGCCCAACCACCTGGAGTCCCCTCTATAATATTCTAGCCACTTTTCTAGCATGTGCTTGAATATTTTTCCTGATGGAGAACTATCTCCCATGCCAACCTACTCTCTTTGAATGGCTCTATGCTTAGAAATCTATTCTTCATCATACACAGACGAAATAGCCCCTGTTGCTTAAATCACTGGTCATAGACCAGCTCTTTGAAGCCATCTAAGAAGAACCTGAGATGAACCTACTTGGCCATTCCCACAGGGTCTCTGGAGGAGGAGGAGGGGTCGGCAGGGCCACCATATGGCACTATGGTGCAAATTAGAAAAAGGGGCCCATTCCTCATCTGCTGGAAAATTGTCATAAGAAATAGAAAAATGTACGATATCTGTGATGTGAGTGAGGTTACAGAGAAGCAGAGGAAACTGGCCTGGGCTACATTTAATTTGATTTAGACCTCATAAACTCGCCAGGTATGGTCTCGATTCCCACAGGGCAGTAGGTAATGTAGTGAGTCTGCCTATGAGGCCCTCACCTGGAGAGAACAGTTTTCAGCTCAAGAAAAGGACTCTGTGGAAGAGTGTGAGCTCCGCCACGCCTGCCTGCCACCTCCATCTTCAGCTCCATTGTTTTCAGGGGAGGCTGGCCCCAGCACTGCAGCTCTAAGACCAAGCATGAGCTGTACCAAACTATTTAATGACTGAGAATGATGGGAAATGAAGTGGCTGGTGATCCAGCAGTTGCAGGGAGGAGTTTAGCCCTGCAGGTGCTTCTTAATTAACTCCTTTGGGAGAATAGCCATCACCTTGGAGAACCTGATAAAGGCCATGGACCAACACCCTGTCAAGGGTTAGCAGGTCACTGTATAGAAACCAGGCTACAAGCTCCCACTCTACTGGCCATTCACCAGGACTCCTGTCACTCTTGGGAGCATTGGCAACTTCTTGGAGCTGAGGCAGAAACCCACAAGGCCCCAGGCCATGGGGCAGGAGATACATAGCTTACTTAGATATATTTCCATTTCTTATCTACAACAATTATTCCTGCAAGCTGCTTTTTTCCAGTGGAAACTCTGCCCTAAGCTTTGTCAACAAGATTTCTGGATTGATTACAGCTCTCCAGGCAGCAGGCAGGCCATGCCCTGTCACAGCTGGAAAGCGTGGGCAGTGACAGTGGTCGGTGAAGCGTAGGGAGCCAAACCGTTCATAAGCTATAGTCCAATGTCCCTGGTTTTACAGCTGAAGAAACTGAGGCCATCAGAGGGGAAGTGACTTATCCAAAGCCACACAATGAGGGACAGTGATTCTTCACCTCCACTCTGGCCAAACCCCAAGACCTCTCTTCACCATCCTGAGCAGCTTCCAGGGGGACAGAGTGGTATGGGAGAGCAACAGACCACGTGAGGAGGGGTGAATTTTATTCTTCAGAGGAGGAGAGTTGTGGGAAGCCACGGAGGAGGCCCTAATGTAGACTGCAGGGGGACCACCTAACACAGACCCCATCCTTACAAGCAATCCAGAGAAACAAAGGGGTGAGCAAGGGTTACCTACCCGCTCCCACTTGACCAACTCTAGCTCCCCACTCTGGCCCTTGTGGACTAAAGAAATGGATGAGGACTCAAGACAGGGAGTATTTTCGAGGGCAGTCAGATATGCCTGGCCTGCTGTCTCCCTCCTCTGGGTGGCTTTCCTGGGATTCTAGATGGGGGTGCCTCCCTGGGGTATCTTCTACAGGCCAAGTTGATGGGACAAGGAGGCTCTATGCCCAGTGACTTGGAGAAGGAATAGAAACTGAAGTAGCCCCAAGAATACAGGGCGAGTGGGTCTAGCCTTCCTCTGGGGAGACTTGAACCCCTGCTATTGCTGATCTAGCCAATGACTAAAGGGATTTCCCCCTAAAAAAACCCAATGGCCTCAGGACAACAGGAGAGAGCTGCTTCCCAAGCCCAGCTTTTAGGCCCCGGGAGCCTCTACCCAAGTTCAGCATCCCCCAGCCCAAGTTCACACAGGCCTGAGTCAACCGCTGCTCAGACACATGGTTTTGAGAACTGCCCCACCCTAGTCCACCCTGGCAAGTCTTCCTTTCCTGTTTTCCTTCTGGGATCAATGTGTTCTCTGAATCACTCAGACTCTTCCTTCACCGTGTGAAGGTCAGGATCCAGACCCGCTACCCACCAGCTCTGATACTCAGGATCCTTGGCCTCATATCCCTTGCATACCTCACAACCACCATGGCCAGCTGATACCCTTGGCTACCTGACCACCATCCAGTTCCCCCAGAGCCCATTCCTGGGACATGATAGTGCCTGGGTCACAGGGCTGTTGTGGGGACCAAGATCTCTGGGTCACACTCAGCATGGTGCCCGGCACACTGTAGCTTCATATAAGTAGTGAGCTCTCATTATTAGAGCTGTAACTGTTGTTAGTACAATGGTCAGTAAGTTCAAAGCCTGGAGAACGAGGAGAAGGCTTGCAGGGCCCAGAGAGGCGCTGTGGAGGCTGGAAGCCTGTTCTTGGTCCCAAATGTCCCACCCCAAACAAACATTGCCAAGAAAGCCACATTTCTGAATTGGGAAGAAACTGACCACCCCACCCATTGGCTGTGGCTTCCAAAAATCTGGCTGCTCAGGGTAATTCTAACATCTCCCCAACAAGCAGAGAAGCTGAGTCACACTCAGATTTTTCTTCTACAAGGAGATAAGGCCAGTGGCTCCCAAGGTGTCACTGATTACTAACCCCCTCTGCTCATTGCTGTACCTTCCCTCCCTCACCCAGTGCCATCTCTCTCACCTCCTCCATCATCTAGGGCTTGTCCTACATCTGTCATACATCTGTTCTCTCCCTAGTGGGGCCTGGAGCTCAGCAGTCCTGTGATGTCATCCCCTGTCTGTCATCAGGGCAACAGCACTTCCTATCCCACTCCTGCCCATCACCACCAGCAGCAGAAGGCAGAGTGCTGGGAAAGGCTTCAGTGGGGTGCCAGGGTGCAGGAGCCTGGAAGAGGCCTTGAGGAATGCAGTCACCCTGGCCTCAGTCCCCAACCCAGACTGGGCTGGCTTAAGCTCAGTGGGCTCCTGGTTGCCCCAGCTCTTGGGGGGCTTTGGGAGGCCATTCATTTATTGTGGGGTAGATTCTGAGGCCTGTGTCAGAGTCAGTGAAGGAACCTAGGTCCTCTGAGTTGGCAAGGCTGGGATAACTATCAGGCCGTCCTCGTCCCATAAGGGGCTGGCTTACCTAAAGGCATCCTCTCTATCTTCCGGGTTATTAGTGAGGAGTGGACACTCTTCATGTACTCATGAAGTTTCTAGGGCCTAGGCCAAACAGGGAGGTTCCCATCTAGTTTAGAGGGCAGAACAGTCACCCCAAGGTGACACCGGCTGCTCCTCAGTTCCTAATTAGAATGATTTTTCCCCAAAGAGCTCTTCCTGAGCTTCTGTTTGGTCAGAGTTCCAGCCATCCTTCTGTGTAGGTGTCCTCTTGGGGGGTTCCCTTGGAGGGCCAGGGAGGCTGCAGCATTTCTTCTTGGCTTCACACTCTGGTGGGCATTGGTTCTGGCATCTGATGCCTTATCTTTGAAGGTAACCCCTGCCTGGTTTTAAGCACTGATTATGTGGCAAGCCCGGTACTAGAAGTCAGAGACGCAATGGCGGGCCACACACAGGGCCAGGCCTCTTGAAGCTTACAGTCTACTTGGAAAGACAAACAGAAACTGTAATTCAGTACAGTCCATGCTATGATACAGGTAAGCACAAGTGTGACAGGAGCATATAGGAGAGCACCTGGCCTTGTGTTGGCAAGGTCGAGAAGGCTCTTTGGAGGAGGTCGCTTCTCAGCCTCTCAACTGAGACGGGAAGGATTGTAGCTTAACATGGCAGAAGGGTATGAAGGTTCTGGGCCGACAGCACATGTGAAAAGGCTAAGAGGCAAAAGGGAAAGAGAGTGCTGGAGGCAGAGAGACTTGTTCTTTACGGCTGGGGAGAGAGGGAGGGCACCAGAAGAGATGAACCAAGCAGCCACACTCATTTTAATAGGAAGTATATCCCATTCTTTCCTCTACTGGGTACTTCCTCTAAGTAAACCCACTGAGTCTCAAATACCAAGAATTTTTCATTATTGTAATAATATTTTGAAATCAAAGACTTTCAGACTCCATTCAGGTTCCCATTCCAACCTGTATCAACCTTGAGCACTGTGAAGAAAATAAAAATGGGCCTCTATCCCATTCGTTCATTTAGACAGGGCCCCCAAGGTGAGCAGAGCCGGGGTCTCTTCTACAGCACAGTTGGGGTCCCAGCTGGTGCCTACCCAGGGTCACCACCTCCGTTCTCCTCTCTGGGGAATCCTTTACGCTGGGAATAGGGCCACCAGTAATTGAGCTGGAAGGGAGAAGTAGAG